CAAAGCATTTTTATTGGTTTTGGATAGGGTCAGGATCTATCTAATTTTTATTCTCTGGATTATATCTGGATCTATCTGAAATGTCTGAATAGGTTTGAGAGTTGCCTTTAAAATAGCCATTGTACTCTACAATAAAATGCACACCTTGCACAGAAGTAACTTTTGATCCAGTGCCTCCCATCCACACCCTTTCAGATTTTCATTTCTATCTGAATCACCTTTGGGGAGATTTTTACTGCTTATCCTAGTGACAACAATATCACTGAGACAAGGGTCTCAAGTAGGGACACTTAGAAAACCAAACAACCAGCTGAAGTTCTAACAAATCTTAGACTGGGTTCACATTCACAGGCAATTTACAGGCTTTGTTTGCGCATTTGTATGTGTGTGGTTCAAGCGGTTTTTTTTGCACTACTTGTAGTACAGAAGAAGAATCAATCATTTTTAAAAGCGTAATCTTTTAAATGGGAGAGCCCAAAAGATGTACGGAAACACGCATTTTTCAGGTGATCCCATTAAAGTCTAAGGGGGCAAAAGTCTTGTTTCTGCCTGAAAAGAAGATCCTGTACTTTTTGGAGTGATTGGAATTTTGCTACAGGCTTTAAAGGAGAACTATGGGATAAGTGCTTTTCCCCATAGTTCTCCTAAGGGTCACGGGAGGACATAAACTAGCGCCCTCCCGTGACCCAACGCTCAGTATATCGCGAGCCACAGGTCGCGATATACTGAGACCGCCGCAGCCAGGACGGATTCTGACATTACTGTCGAGATCCACCCAGCTGTGTGAGTGACAGCTGGCTCTGCCTATCTAGAGGCAGAGCCAGCTGTATCCGCCCCCTCCCCCGTCCGTTCCGCCAGTCAGCGCTGGAGGATTGGAGCTCTGAGGGGGGGAATCCCTGCAGGGAGCCTGACAGTCACGGCTCTCTGCAGGGAGAAGATCGAGAAGTGAGCAAGCGACGCTATGCGTTCGCTCACTTACTGATCTATTGAGCCGACGTGTGACAGTTTAATTGTCACACGTCGGCTTGAACTATGAGGTTGAGTGAAAACCACTCACCTCATGGTTCTCCTTTGAATGCTCACATGTGAACAGGCATGATAAAAGACAATTGGATTGTAAATGTTGAGTGTTTTGTAACTTCGAGCTCCAAAACATTCTCCAGGACAAGAAGTGAAAAGAAATCTCCATATTGGGACACATACAGGAAAAAAAACAAAAAAAAAACTGACAGGGGTCTTAGCCACTCCTTACTGTATCCAAAACTAAAATGAAAATGTTTTAACTTTATCTCTCTCCTTTTTTCACAGCCAGCTTTGCAATATTATCAAAGATTAGGAAAATTAGGCAGCCGCATACAACATGGTAAAATATTTCTAAATGATGCAATGTTTAATAGACGGAAGGAATGTAGAGTAAGTGTATATTCTGTAGCTACTTCCTTATTCTTTTATACACCCTATATCCAAGGGAAACATGTGCTAAGAGAAACTTGGAGGCTGCCATTGTTGCCTTCCTTTTCTGAAAATGCTTCTCCCTTTCTGAAAATGCAACAAGCATGCAGATCAGGACTTCACTTTCTGCAGATTTTTTTCCATGTTAGCAGCTCAGAATTTGGAGGTTATCAGTCAGCCTTGAGGTTTCTCTGAGCACACGTTTCCACGTTTCCCCCCCCCTCCCACACACACACACACACACTGCAAGGGTTAATCTCATATTAAGTCCAGGGGTAGAGGAACAAGCTGTAATATTTATTTATTCACTACAATATTTATATAGTGCTGACAATGTTTGCAGCGCTTTACATACACACCAGACCATTCCCTGCCCTCAAGGAGCTCACAATCCAAGGTCCCTATCTCACATGCATACATACAGGGCCTATTTAGACAGGAACCAATTAACCTTCCAGTATGTCTTTGGAGTGTGGGTTGGAAGCAGAGTACCCGGAAGAAACCCACGCAATCACAGGGAGAACATGCAAACTCGATGTAGAGTGTCCTGACCAGTATACTTCTAACACTCCCTGCTCCAGCAGGCTTCTGGCACTCATCTCTCTGCTTCAACACTCCAGATTGTGGGCAGAGCCTTGCCATCCTTAAGTACAATGTCGGACTGCTGGTCCTGCATTGCTCAAGATGATGTCAGAGTGAGACGGCCGGCGTGTTGAAAAGAAAAGGCTTTGGGGGCCCTGTAGCACTGTGTGGTGGAAGCCTGCCTGAGCATGGAATAAGGTAAGTATTATGGCTTATTCCTCCACCCCTAGACTCTAGTAAGAATTTAACCCTTGCAGTGCGGGAGGCCACCCTAAGGGGCAACAGGTTCAGCCAGTATTCGTGATGGCAAAATTGTATGGTATTGTATAACCAGGGCTGTACTTAGACCTTGTGTCCTGGGCACACCTAACTGAAGATTACTTATTTCACAAGCTCCTCTTTGTGTCATGTTATTATTCTAGAAAAAGGGATCCAAGAGTGTGCTATTAAAGGCAGCATGGTGTTTGCTTTATATTCAACTGGACAGACCACCAAACAAGAGGAAGATGTTTTTAATGTTTTTAAAACTGCAAAGTCTTTAAACAACCCCTGTATCCCATTTCCAAAAAAACTGATTTCTTGGTAAATTTAGCAACAACTGACTGTCACGATCTGGGGTCCGGGGCACTGGTTCGTGTGAGCTCCGGGTCTTGCAGAGTGGGTTAGGATTGCTGGCTGGGGTGATGTCTGGAATGCTGGTCACAGGAAGTGTGGGGACTAAGAGTCTGTGCGTTTTCGGGGACGCACTAGAGGCGCAGGATCTAAGAAGGGCCAGGTTTTCCACAGCGCCTCTAATGGTGAGGATGGTTGGCTGCTGGATACCTTCCAGGTTGCGGCCCTCTAGCGAACCCGCACAGACTCAGGGAACTGGTTTTCAGCACCGGGGCTCAGAACACAGACAGGGCAAGGCCTGTACACATACAGCAGTACAGCATACAAAGGGACACAGGAGCAGGGGTCCAAACAACAATGGAAGGGAACACAAGGAGACAACAGAAAGACAGCACAACACGGCTATCCAGAGATAACAGTAGCAAGACTAAAAGGACAAACAGCCACAAAGGAGGAAGACAAACTCACAGGTAAGCAGGATCTCACACGGAGCACAAGGAATGACAGGAGACACAAGGAAACAAGCAGGTAAATAGTAATCCGCAGGGATCCAAGGCAACAATAGCACATGGGGTCCGGCTAAGTCAAACGACACATTGCTCGAACACTGAGAAATGAGTGGTGCCGAGCACCTGGGACAGGAAGCAAAACCCTGTGCCTGATCATGGCACAGGGAAGTGTGACACTGACCAAAAAGTAATCACACCTTTTGAGGCTTAGAGCTGTCCCATCTAATCCTGCTGCCCTAGGCACTGGTTCACGAGTGCCCTATTAGAGTAGTAATACAGTACAGTACTGCTCTGAGTTTACTACTGTGGATGTTTAGTATATTGTATATAAAAGAAACTGGTTTAGTTATGACATTGGAAAAACAGAACGCATTTCTTGAACCATACAGACACAGTGGTACATGAGATAAAAGGACACAGAAAAAAAGGGGTATGAGTTGTTGGCAATAAAAGAGTACATAGTACAATAAAGCAGAGAAACACTGGCTTACATTCAGTTTACTTGGAACAAGGTATGCATATACAAATGTGGTCTCTTACGTTAAAATCAGTGTTGACTGCAGGCAAAGTTTGAACAGATTAGTCTTCATTACTTTTAAGCTCCCCCTATTAACCACATCAGAAGAATGCAGTACTGGGTGTTTGGGCTGCACTCGTCACATTATACTACACATGTTTCAAAGTCATCTGACTTGTGTTCATGAAATAAATTATGTAGGAGTGGTTCTATTTGGAAATAAGACTCATTATGCCTGTGCTCTGTGTCACGTAGCTTTACTTCCTTCTTTCAACTGGGGATGACAGTAAAACAGTGCTTATCATAGTGAGCGTAGCCATATCTGGACAAGCCTATCTTTATCTCACAGGAGATCTGGAGCAAATATTCTGCAAGTGAGCTAGCATGGGCACCTTTAAGAAATACAGCAAACATGTATATTGGACTGCATGGCTATATTCTATTTAATCTGGTATCCGTTTGTTACATTATCTCTGTATGCATATTGTATGTTGGCTTCTGCCTAAAAACCTTTATCTGTGCAGTTAATGCACTGGAACCTTGGCTCATGTTTTTTTCTATTTACCAATGTATTGCTACAAAACCAATTATGCTGTTTTTGTCATTTCTATCTTGTAAATGTCAATAAAAATGGTTGAAGTGAAAAAAAAAAATTATATTAACTTTATAACTGTCGCAAGATTTTTTTTTCTGCAGCACTCCTGAATTCCTTTTAAAATGGCAAAAAGTATCTTCCAAATTCAAAAACGATTAATAGTCTTATAATATAATCCATTGATATGCAAGGTATAATATTGCAAAATAAATCAAATCAAATCTACAGTATATAAACACTAATGGTTGTAATACCTTACAGTCGCTTAAATATTACCTGCCTTGAAACTAAAATGAATATGTAGAGTGAATTAAACGCTTAAACCTATAGCATATTTTGCAGTTCACAGTGTTTGCAGGCTTTTCTGTTCCCCTGAGCAGGTGTTTCTCAGTGGTACTGTCTAAGCTTTGGCTTTGTGTGACTTTGATGGACTACAGTGCCTGTGCTTACCGAAGCCGGAAAACTAGCACAACCCTATAAAACACAGCAACCAACCAACCAAAAATACAATAACCTGAAAGAAAAACACTATTAAAAAAATTAGTATGCCTACATTTACTTATGTGTATAAGATTAGTTATTTCCTGGAAATTAGAAATTGCTAATATAATACAAACTTTAAAATAGTTTTTAGAAGTCTGTGTACATGTGAGTGTGTGTACCTCCAAACTCTAACTATGATTACATGAAGCTTTCTAAGTTGCATTATGTTCCAGGAAGGACTACATCTTACCTTTGTATTGTGAACGTGTCTGAGTCCGTGTTCTGCATGGTGCTGTAACTATGCAAGCCCTATATATATAGTAGCTCAAACAGAAAGTAGGTGTTTTTGGCTCAAGGCCAAATCAGTTTCCGCACTAGGAAGTCATTCAAAGACAAGCAGCTAAGCATGCAGGAGGATGAAATACACTTACTGGTCCAGGGTGCTGTTCGTCGTATTACTGATCATTTAAAAAAATACCTCCTATTTACTTTGATTCATTTACATACAGAACACCACTTCTGTTGCTGTGTCATTCTAGCTGATAGTTTAAAAAACTGTATATTTCTGGTATACATTTAGTAATTGAAACATAATAAACTAGCTATGACAACAATGAAATGCAGTGCAAAAACGTTTAAAGCCCGATTGAAATCTTGCTTTCTATTACTGGTATGCAGTCAGGCACTTTTTTTTAACAAATTAATGTTTAAAGCTGTGTGGCAGCAGCATGCAGGAGAGCCGGACTGCTGTGCTCACACAAAGCGCAGTGGTCCACATCTCCATGCCCCAATCAACGATGCTGCACAGGTATCATGAGCATTGTTGATTGGAATACTGTGCAAGAGGTGTGATAGAGCACTGAAGATTCGGACCACTGCGTTCTGTATAAGAGCAGTGGTGCGGTTCTCTAGTGTGCTGCTGGCAAAGAGCACTAACACATACTAAAAACATAGGGGTCTATTCACAAAGCTGCCGATGGATCCAGCTGTAGCTACGGCTGATCCTTTGGTTAGCTTCGGTTGCGGGAGCCCTTCAGTTCAGTCGAACCCAAGGGCTGCTGTATGGGCTATTAACTATATCCGTACAGCTGCTGAAGGCGGCCCAGCTGCTCAGCCGAGCTGAAGGCATAAGCTTCGGCTTGACTGAGCTAAAATGTCAGCCAAAGTGGGGCAAATGTCCAGGCCAAAGGCTGGGGCACTGTACCGGACTGCAGGCACAATGTGCCTTGCGATACCGTGCGGGCGATCGCATTGCGGCCAGAGGGAGTGTGGCTACGGCGCCATTCACTTCAATGGCCCACCACGCCCCCTCTAGCCCCACTAAAAAGTGAGCCGGCCGCAATGCAAGGCAGTGCGTTCTGACCAGAATCGGGCCGGAATGCACTGCAACTGGTGTGAACGGGCCCTAATAGTTTACTTGTTACAAGATCTGACTGCACAACAATAGTATAAAGCAACACTTCAATTGGGCGTCCATTCCATTACTTTGGGGACATATTTAAAAAAACATTGAATGTGAATAATCTACTGTATATAAACTCGTTCACCAGGAAGATTAACCTGCAGTGAATGTTTGGTGAATGTCACATTCACTACTTTACAAATATGCCTGCTGATATACTAACTTTCTTTTCTTTTTTTTTACCCATAAGAAAGGGTTTAGAAGAACTTTGGGGAAAATGAGCATTAACCCAAGCTACCCTCGCACTGCAAGGGCTAAGCACTCGTTTTGGTCTAGGGCGGAAAAGAACAAAGTTATACTCACCCAATCCTCTGATTAGGCTGGCTCTTAGACCGGTCCCTGGAACATCTCCCCCCCCCCCCCTGCTGCAGCAGTCTAAGGTCCCATACATCATCACGTTCTATACACAATGTATAGAATGGGAGCACCACTGCAAGGAATGACTATAATTTTTTTCGGGGTTCTGCTTTAAGGCAGATTACTACTGTGTGTGGGTCACATCCGACACTTAGTCACCTTAAGAATTTATACTGAATGAGGCTTTAATTTGTTTATTAGATTATTAGGTCTTATTTATGTTCTTTGGATATATACTGTATGTTGGTGTGGCAATCTTAAAGTTGACCTCCAGCAAAAACATTTTAAATTTATTTCCTGTCCCAGTGACCCTAGTCACTGGAATAGGAAGTAAAGAAAAATCTCCCTGGTGGGAAGATATATAGCAATAAAAACCTGCAAGTTCCAGCCCTTACTCACTCTACTAAAAAAAAGTACCGGGTATATTTATTGCTGTCTGAAGTGCCAGATCAATGAGTTGGAAAAAGAGGTGACTGCTTTGGCTGTTTCACCAGGGGATGGGGGATTAAGGCAGAGAGACCTGTACCTACAACCCATAATGCTGACTTCAAAGCTCATTTTCAGTAGCTATCTGACATCCTCACATTGCTATAACCCACCACATAATATAACAAGGCTTCATTGTACATTAATAAAAGTCTATGCACAGTCAACATTTTATTGTTTTTACGATGTGCATAGAGGAAATAAGAGTTAAAATCCCTCTCTGTTTGCTTTTTGCTGTCTGTGTTCTGTTGAGGAGATTTCTCTTCACTCCCTTTCACAGCAGAAAATATGAGGCAATTTGTACAAACGTGGAAGAACTCCCCTATTACAATTGTCAACGGAACAGGTGACCCCTTTGGAAGATTTACCCTCACCTCTTTTTCTATAACAACTGTAATATTTTGGCTTTCTTGTCACTTTCTGTCTTCATGACAGTAGTCACCAGAACAAATATACTGTATAGGTTGAATCTCCCCAGCAGGAACATCGACAGCAAAAAAAACTTGACAGGGATTCGAAAGCTCTCCTAACCTATCCACAACTCCACAAAATAATATAACTATGCCTACTTTAATGCTGTCTACTTTAACTGTAGACAGCATTTATGATACAATGACTGTCCTGGTGGCCATATTGGGTGTATCCTGAGTGCCCGTTATCTGTAGACGTGTGGAGACAAATGTTGATAGCACATCTAGCAGAAAACAGTTACACATATTGAACTGAGCTTCAAAATCTGCTTGGTGTCTGTATTAGCCACTGGATTGGCTAGCTGATTCTAAGACTGGCCGTAGATGGGAAAAAAGCTCACATGAGATGAATAAAAAAAATATTGCTTTTTGTTCTCATAATCCAGAAGAGAATTGGGACTCCCTGCAGTCCTTACCTGATGCTGACAGAAGTTTACGAGCCGTACATCTGACTAGGGATGATGTTCAGGTTCGCTGCTACCGCAGGTAGCACATGGTCCCAGGGATTTTATGTGGGGATTCACTGTAAAGAATTGTTTAAAACCATAATGTGCTGCATGCCCTTTGAACTTTTAAACTAATTGGTTTAGAAGGGCTTATTAGATCAGCATCCTCACTATAAAAAGGGGAGCACAGAGCAGCTAGTCAGTGAATTGGAAGCTCTTGCAAGAAATATATAGGGAAAGCTGACAAATGCATTGGGGGAGATTAGGGTCAGTTGGGAAACTGTACTTTAATTCTGATTGATAGCTCCCAATCCTTTTATCGGAGGCATTTTTGTCTTTCATTTTATTTTTGTGGTTGATTTCGAGATCAGCAGTCACAGTCAATCGTAGCTGCAGTCCCATCCATAGGAAACCTTTTTTTTTTTTCTTTTCTTTTTTTTTCTTTATTACTGCAAGGATTCCCTGTTTGCATGGCTACATGTTCCTCATGGCAGTTCCCAGCTTCTCGTGCCTTTTTATGGCAGCAGTCTATTAGCCCTAAAAATGAACCCCCCCCATAGACTTAAATTGGGATTAACCTCTAAGTTCAGGTTGTTTTCTAACAAGATGCGCTGAACCCTTGGCAAATCGAACCCAGACAGATTCGCCCATCATTACATCTGACCCTCCATTCTTCTACATAAAAAAAATTGAAAGATCAGCCAGGCACATTAAGAATTTCCAAATAGCTAGAAATGTTCCCTGTGCAATAACAAGGGCTCCTGTTTGGCTGCCCTTGTGTGAAACAGACACAACCAGATAATCAGAAGTAATGCTAGAAACTGAGACTATTTACTGGGCTATATATATTTGAATGATCACTTTTGAGTCAGTAACATCAGCTTATGCTGATTCCCTGATATAGATCCTTGGATTTTTAGAGTCCTTTATAACATTATTGGTTGCCAGCTTAGCTCGTAGATGGCACAGGAGGTTTGATTGCCTTGCATCTTTGTCTCCTGCTGCCTTTGATAGGGAAGCACTGCCTCTGCCATGCTACTGCTGGCATCATACCTGCCCCCCGCCCCCACACATACTGTGTTTTCCCGAAAATAAGACACTGTCTTATATTTTTTTTGGCTCAAAAAACACACTGTGTCTTATTTTTGGGGTAGGTCTTATTTATTTTTTTAAATGTACAACAATCCACACTTATGTATGTAGAAAAGTCTACATGTATTGATGTCAAAAAATATGGTGATCAGGGCAATCGGGGGTGCCGTACCTTTCCAAGTGCAATTTGCTAACCAATCGCTGGCCAGAATGAGCAAAGCGCATTTCACTATCCTGGCAGGCGGAGTGCATTTGTTATCTCTCCGCCTGTGACAGGAGCCGGCGCTGTAGAGGAGGCATCGGCTTATGCGGCTCTGCTCCCTCTGCTACTGCCTCGCTTGCTCTAGCGCTGGCTTCGTTGGCACCGCTGATTCTCTGCCACGGCTCTTCAAGTTCCCCCTTATGCCACCACCGGCCCTGGGAATGGTCACAACTAGGTCTTATTTTCAGGGTAGGTCTTATATTTTAGCAATTCCCAAAAATAGTACTAGGCCTTATTTTTGGGATAGGTCTTATTTTCGGGGAAACAGGGTAGTAAAGTGCTGTATGCATCTTGGATGGTAAAAATATATCTGTGTTTGTTTCAAACATTCAGTCATATTCATGAGGAAGTATCATAGTTTACATTTCCCTGCACATGATGCACTGGGGGATACTTTACTAAAGTGGCTCATTTTTCACCATGCTAAATAAAACCAGAGTTCACTTCTAACACAAACCCAAAGGTGTTAATCATCCCTTAAATCTACAATAGATATGAACTAAGAGCCACACAACCCAGCTGAAAGGCATGTTGGTCCTACTCAAAACCACTGGCTCTTCATTCCCAGAGACGGGCAATCGAATTGTCAGGTAGAAAAACATTTCCAATTGCTACCGTTCACCTCTGAAATAAGTGGCACTTTTGGTACCCGTTGGTGCCGCTGACTGACTCTCCTCTCCAATGACATAAGCTTGTTAGGTTGCCAAACCTTTCCATTGTAGTATTATGTAAGGTAATAGTCATTACACTTTAAATATACTACATGCT